TGACATTTAGTAAGTAGATAATATTTTATGTTTTAAATCAAGTCGACCCCTTGTAGCACCCATCTTTTCTGCAGTTCAAGACCGGGGACATAATCATCGAGAGCTATGGCAACATCGGCAGCGTTGTCTTCAACCAGACCTGCTTGGGATTTACAAGGGCAAAGGTTCCAGTTGCCGAATGAACTGCACAGACCTCATTTACCCAACGAAACCACTGGTACTTAGCCAGTCACCTTGAATTCACATACACATTTATATACTTGTTTCCCTTCTTAGATGCCTTCTTTGACTACCGCCTCCTCCTTACCAGTTTAATACTTCGGAAAGACTCATATTTCTCTATATTCCCTAGTAGATTTTTCTTCTGATTTAATTTTATTCACCCGTCACCAATCCTCTGGAGGGGCGAATGTGTTGTCCATAGACAAAACGCGCATGATTGCTGTCCTCCTCATTCCCCGTCTAATGTTTTAAGTATTCAAGTCTTTTCTTCAGTCAGTTGACTACTGATTGACAGCGTCTGGTGTTGTGGTATCTTGCGACGATTTTTTGAGTGTTCCAACTTTTCGCCTAAATATGTCACTTTGGTGTTTCCGATTCGCCACCACGAAGAAGCCTGCATGTGGACTCGCTATCAGTCCCTTCTACGCCCTACTACGTGCAACTCTTCTGATGTTTTGATTCTTTAAGTAAAGTTTCCTTCTTTTTAATTACTTTAGAAGCTGATCAGTACATTGGAGAACAAAATTATTCAGTAGACGTTTCTAAAAGTCCTTAAAATTCAATGACGGTTCTGACATTCCTCCAGACTCCTTGCTATAGGACGAAGCACCCGGGACCCGAGTATTTGGACCTATTCTTAACTTATACTTAAAACTCGAATGAGTGTGGTATTGGTACTGACTATAGTGCTCACTCATCTGAGCGAACTGTTGGACTAGACACAGTCCATAAAATTTTCTTGTTAGACCAGCTCAAGTATGCTCGGGGGTGGTCGTATGGACGGAGCAAGAAACTGTCGATCGCTGTCGTTCAAACGAAGATTTATAGCATCGAAATCCAGTGAACCTTGGTTCAGGTCCAGTCATAATCTCAGGACTTTTCGACTAAGGGTTCTGAGTGGGAATAATTGGCGATTGCAAATGGACCATTGGCCTCAAATTCAGCCTCCCCCCTTGAATATCGATCGGTGGTTTGTAAGGCCGTAATGAAAGAGACATGCATAAGGGATGCTTGTGATCTTTAACCGCGACGGTATAGACGTTAATCCACTTTGTCGAAGAACGCACAAAAAATTGGATGCCTGTTATTCGTTTATAAATTCCCAGGTTAGCCGTGCCAGGGTTACCTCCCTGTGGGCCGGTATCTTGTTCAGTCGACCCACCTGGGGGGTAGGTGTTCGGTTGGGATACGTACTAAGTCGGCAAAATTTGTCTAAGGTGAAGATTGCGAAAATTCCCATGGAGCAATTCAGAAGGGCATCTGGCGAGAATACGCGTGTAGTTATTTATCGTACTTACGACACAGATATTTGCTAAAAGCCCAGACAAGCGTGTTTCGCCGAACTTCTGCCGCTGCCTGACGCAGCTGCGAGGGGCTCGGCTCGTCAGTGCATCCCCCAGCACTCACCGTCTGCTTTCTGGTATATGAACTGCAGTTTCAATTTGTCTTGTTTAATTTCCGAGGGAATTAATGCGCGAACTACTACTGGCTGCCTGGCGGCGGTTTGTGAATATTAAGCGGTTATTCCGCAGTAGCTGATGGATTTCAGCTCAAATATTCATGTTAAATTTCGGACCGTGCCGAAAAGGTCTGTTCCGAAGGATTTACTCCAAGTCTACGCATTTATTTCCTCGGACAGAAAACAACGCAAAGTGCGAAATTTGCTGATGCACCATGAGGAAAGATTCTTCAAGCTCGGCCCCACTAGAGTCGAACAAACCTCACACTTTTGATCCTCTCAACAGCTGGCAGTTTTCGTTCACACTAGACAGTGCGTTTTGGACGTGTGTTGAACTCCAGCTCAAATATTCATGTCGAATTTCGGACCATGCCTGAAAAGATCCGTTCCGAAGGATTTAATCCAATTTCGCGCATTAATTTCCTCGAAAATTAAACAAGACAAATTGAAACTGCAGTTCATATACCAGAAAGCAGACGACGAGTGCTGGGGGCCGCACTGATGAACCGAACCCTTCGCAGCTGCATCAGGCAGCTGCACAAGATCGGCGAACCACGTGTGTCTGGGTTTTTTGCTGGTATCTGTGTTGTTGGTACGGTGACTAATCACACAATTATATACTACTGGCTGTCTGTTGGCGGCTTGTGAAAGTTACGCGGTTATTCCGATCGTGATTCTGATTAAACAAGGCGAGCATACGCGTGCTTTCGATAAATTCTCATCGGGCCCCTGCGTTTATGCGGGAACGAGGTAAAAACTAAAGCGTGTGAGCGACAATCGCAATCGATTACGGTTCCGCTTTGCACACAAACGGGGCTATGTGTACGGAGGGGAGAGTGGGGGGAGAGAAGACAGCATGTGACAGTGAAGGTTAGGTAGAGCTGTGTCACAAGGGGGGGGGGAGGGAAGACGGGGCTGCGGAGACAGGCATACAGTCAATCGATCCTTGCCCACGGCAGACGCGGAGCGTGCGACAGGTTCTTCTGCGCGCACAGGACTGGCCTCTGTAGCCTAATGGCAGCCGCTTCTGCTGTTTCTAGTAGACGCTGACCAAGTTGCTTATGGTGAGAATTTATCGAAGGCGCGTGTATGCTTGCAAAATGCTCTTTTAAAGTAAAGGTGTCTGTATGAGTTAGGGAGTAAAACCTGATGAAGGGTATCATTTTGAATTGAAACTCCTACCCCGTATACCCACAGTTTAAAATGTTCGTTTTTTTCTGCAATGAGTAATCCTGATAATTTTGCTCAGAATCCAGTCGCAGTTGTCAAGGCTAAAAAAGTGAGCCATGCTAAATTACTGTCCTCGGGCCCACTCGAAAAATATCATGTCGCAAAAAACTCGCACATCAAACTGTTCGTCATTTCCGAACTTTCAAAATTTCTGTAAAACAGATTATATTTTACAAGCGATACTATTTAAAAGTCGATTCCGAGGCGATTTTAGAGAAAAGCAAGTGCCTTAATAACTGAATATGGAGTAGGCGCTAATTTGAGTTTGAAAGCTGGTATTCCCAACGTTTCGGATTCAAATACCACAAAGTTTTTATCTCTACCGACAAATTTCTTCCTGTGTTCTGGATTTATTAAAACGTTTGGTAACTTAGCGGGAGGTTCTTTGTGTCAACACAAAAGTATTTATCAAAAAGAACTTTCAGGGAGTGCACAAGTCTCAATCCAAAGTCCGCAAAATTTTCTAGCCCTTTCATAGACGGAAAACTATATACGTATAGGTGCAGATGCTAATTTGTAAGAACTTGTGTTACGTCGAGTGAAGAGCTCAAAAATTTGTGCTAATTTCTAGGAGGGACCATCGACTTTGCGCGGATATCGAGCAGCATTGAAGGGAAAAGCACGTTACTTAACTTAAGACAGTACGCATTCTGTGGTAAAAAATAAGTTTCCAGCGAAAGTCATACGCTTTTCCTCACCCCTTGAATCTGGGGTTCAAGTTCAGAACCACCGTAGGACCCAACTTAAAACACAAACGCTAATCCGTTGGTCTTTCTGGATTAATACAACGGAGGAAAATTTTGACCCCATGATATTTTATACTGTGCATTTTCGAAAACTGAAAGACGTGTAGCTGCCGACAACATTATCAGTGTCTGTTTCGATCTTCAAAAATTAGTAGTACACTCGCATTTCTCGAACACCATACAGCCAATACGACAGCTCGGTCATCGTTACCGACGATGTACATAGTTTGCTCCGCAGCCGGATGGACACCGCGACGGTGACTTGCGCGTGAAATAGTTTATAGTGATAGTAGACCGCACTCTCCCCCTCCCCCCCCCCACCTGGGCCCCCTATCATCACAGAGTCAAGAAGACCGGGGGCGGGGGAGAGCGCAGGTGGCTAGCACGGCGAGAGCCCCCACCTAGGCGTGCCACCACACCTCCGGGTCCACAACGTAAACAATAATGAAGAAGGGGGTGGCTCGGATGCCGACTGGCGCTACGTAGGGCTGCCGGACCTCGATCTAGCCCTCGTGTTGGTCCAGTGCACCTGCAGCATGGCCGGTTTTAGGGTCAAAACAGCCAATAGAGTCATTCAAACAATCGCTCCGTGCGTGTCGGAAACCAACCCTGCTGTAGCGGCCGAGTGGGGATGCGCGTGTTGAGGCTTGTAGTCGTCAAATCCCGGGGCAGGGTGTTTTGGCTCCACGGGTCCAGATGTTAAATATATTTCTTCCAAAGGCTGTGTTACGTCTTCATACACACTAGCAAGTGACAAGGATGGTGTAGACTTAATAATAGATAAACTGATGGATAGACAATGGTTTATTATTGAAATGTGACCAAATAGACGAGCAAATAAAACTCGGGTGGCTCTAATCCTGATAGTGAGAAACGAGATATGTAGACGTTAACCATTCGGTAAAATGTACGAGTGTCAAATGGATAATGAGGAAAAACATTTTTTTACGTAAACTATGTGTCGCGATACGATCAGTAGGAATAGAAATACAAAAATAACCGCATCGAAAGATGATAAACGAGAACGGGAACTTAGCGGAACGTTGCGGCGGGAAGCGTCAATTCGTGTCAAAGTGAGCGCGGATTCTGAAAAAAGGAAGGCGGGAACGAAAATAAGCGCTTAAAACAACCGTCTGTTACACCGCGGTCCTCTCTCGTGACCTGAGTATCGATTACTAGTTTAAACATGACTAAGGACTGCTTGGGTGAACCACGTGAGGTCGGCAGTAAAGGGGGTCACCGCCAATGCAGACACGAAAATCCCAATTCAGAATGGGTCTAGTCTACTGCTGAATAGAACATTACCCGAAAAATAAACAAATTCTCTCTCTCTCTGTCGGGGGATGGAAGAACTGTCTGTAGAACAAGTCATCCCACACCACCTCTTCGAGACCTTTACACCCATCGTATACAGTGAGTCTGACATCGCCGAAAATGAGCCCTTCCCCAAGAAACCACCGACAGCATTTCTTGCCCCTCGAGACTGGAGCCTCTACGTTCGCGTGTGTTGCCACCTGCGGCAACTGCGAACTCAGTACGGCTGTTCTGAATACGAGGCCTACAAACAGATCTCGGGCTCAACTGAGGAACGCCGCCGGGGTAGTCGCATCGTGCGACTAGTGGCCGCCTTCAACCGCCTCTACAGTGAATACGCCATGCTTTGCGCTGCAATGGCCTCCGCCAGGAAAGAATCCCGGGCCCAGAACTCTTCCAAGGGTAGTTCTAGACACTGGCTTTTCAGTGGTGATGGCATTGGTAGGAAACGCAGTCGAAACAGTGCTTCTCGTCATCGTCGTCGTGGTCGCAGCGGTCTCAGTAGATCTACAACGGCCGACTGCACGGGCGCAATCGACTCTCTCGGCGACAACTTCCGTCCAGCCCTAGGAACCTTCAGTGACATGCCTAAAGAACGGGACCAAACCCCAACGGTGGCCTCAATCGCCAATACAGCAGACACCGTCTCCACGAACCTGCCGTCCATGAATTCAACGACTGTCCAAACAACATCCCATTGTACCCAAACGCTTTCCTGCAACGAGTTCGCCGTGGAACTGGAGCCCTTTCAACGGGACAAGAAGCGGTTCTTCTTGTGTAGGAAAGGCAAGCAAAAGAGTAGTAATGGTGGCGGCAACAAGATTGTGGGAAAAAAAGACCTCGAAGTCTATGACTGCATTCAGCGGCAACCGCTCGACTACTCCATCTGGGTGAGTCAGATAAGCGTGAAGAGAATGAGTACCGACCATGTGGTAACTTGGATGTCAAACGGACCCCTGGGGGCTCTACCTAAGGGCAGTGTGGAGACGATGCGTCTCCCAATCGGACTGGAACTCACTCTGCCTCGGATGCAGCGTCAGATCGAAGTCATAATGTCCACCTGTAGGTTTGTCTACGATCCCCTAGAGGTGGCAGCCGAACTGAGGACAGTAAATTACGACACTGACGCCTGTATAGCCTACTTTCTACAAAGCAGGGAATTAAGAGAGATCATTCAGGAATTCCTGCCCACAAGGACACTTCGACCCAACGAGGTACTTCGGCACAGCCCCACAGCAGGACAGAATCCCTCCGAGGGCTTGGAGTACGAGCTGTCGAGAACACCGGTACCCCCTGAAGAACGAGAGGCCCGAACTAAACTGCGTAGCCTGCCGAGGGCGAGACTGGAGTCTGCACTGCTCACATATCATCGTAAGTTGACCCACCTGAAGAAGGCTGTTGGGGATGCGAATCGGAGACTAAAACGGCTTCAGGGCTTCGCTGGTGGCCTCTCATCTGTCTTCCTTCAGCTCTTACCGAACGCGGCGGGAAAATTGGATCAAAGCGCTGTAGGGCCTGAGAGCAGTACGGAAAACCAGACCGCACTTTATACCCAACTAAAGCAACTATCTAGTGAGAACAGCACCCTGAAGGAGACCCTTCGTCTGGAGATGGAGCGACGTATGTCCATCTTCAATATGATGCAGGAGTACCTGGGGAACATCCGCGTCTACTGTCGTTGCAGAGCCATTCCGCAGGCGGGCAACTGCGTTGAGGTGACCTCTTCTGACACTATCCACCTCCTTAACGGTACAAGCATTGAGGACTATCGTTTCGACCGTGTCTTTGACATCACAGCGACTCAGGCAGAGGTCTTCAACGAACTCATGCCTCTTATTCACTCCTTTATGGATGGGTTTAACGTCTGCTTCCTGGCCTACGGCGGTGAGGCAAGTGGTAAGACCTACACCCTGTTGGGGGGCTCAGACGGTCTACAGGAGAGTCGAGGCATAGTTCAACGAGCCCTGAACTGCGTGCTCGCTGAAAGTGCAGTTAAGCACAGCGAGTGGGACATCGGTCTGGCGGTGGCCGTAGTGGAGGTCTACAACGACGTCTTCATCGACCTCCTCAGTGGAGAGACAGGGGTTCACGTGAGAGTGGACCTGGGTGTGGACAGAATGATGGAGGGCCTGCGCACCGTACCTATTCAGTCTGGTGGCGATATTGAGAGTTTGTTGGAACTGTGCAAATCGCGCCGCCGAGTCGGTAAGACGGCGCTCAATCCCGCCTCTTCACGCTCCCATCTCATCATGCTGGCGAGACTGCAGGCTCGCAGCCGTCTCCACGAAAAGTGCATCTCCTCCGTGCTAGCGCTCTGCGACTTGGCCGGATTTGAGGACATAATCAAGGCGGACACACTGAGCGACCAGACACTGGCAAAGGAGGCCGGCTTCATCAACCGCTCTCTCACCGCCTTCAACAGGGTATTCTCCTCGCTTCGCACCCAAGACCCCATGGCGGTCTCCTACCGGGACAGCAAACTGACGTACCTGCTGAAACCCTTCTTTACAAACTCCGGGAAGTGCATCCTCATTGTGACCGTACGCACCGACAGAGCGAACCTGCCCTCCACGCAGGGAACCCTACGATTTGGGCGTGACTCCAGAGCCGTGAGTCTCGGACGCGCCCGACGACAGATCAGCGTCGAGCGTCTGATGCAGGACAATAAGGCCTTCTACTAAAAGACTACGACCCCATCCCACCCCCTCCACCCCTCCGCCGGCCTTCAGAATGCGTCCTAGACCGTCCCGTTGTTGTTAGTTTCTCTGACTGTGTGTGTGTGTATGACTGGCTTTCTAAATCAACATTCTTCGGATTCTTGTCTTTCGCGCGTTCACAGCCAACCCCGACCGTTTGTTAGAATCGACCGAAGAGTGCCGCGCGTACTCGAGAAACGCGGTCACATCAAGTTGTCAAGGAACCTAAAGCACTGTGTAGACAAACCCAACGTCTAGTAAATAGAATTTGAGTTCCTTGCCTTTTCAAGGAACCCATTGTCTCTCCGTGCGGGCTGAAAGTATTGGAGGGGGACATCTTGAGCGGTCACCGATAACTATCGATTCATCTTGCAACCCAGGACCGAATCCGCCAGCTCTGGCGCTAGCGGAGATTCCACTCAATCAGAACGAGGAGACAGAACAATGGCGTAAGTTTGGGAACCCCAGCAAGTCATAGGCATAAAAATTTTGTGCGCTACTGGCAGCAATTAAATAAGCACTTTAGGTTTCTGACCTCACAAGCCCTATCGTCGACTGCATGACATTTGGTTGACCTTGGGATTGCGTCCAACCCACCATACGCCGACTGTGCATGCACGGCGCCCACTGAGAGTACCGCGCGGTCCGGAAAAATCGATTGTTCGGGTAACGAGATGTGTGCCGTCTATCGATCTGGCCTCATAACAAGGTGGGATACGGTCTTTCCATTTTTTTTCCAAGAGTTCCGATCTAAAGTACCTCCTTGTACTTTTACTTTTAACGAATAACTTAGATGCTGGTGTAACCAGCCCCCACAGTTCGCGGCGCCAGGGGGCTGCGAGGTTCATGCCCTCTGATCGTCGGCTAGACCCTTAGGGATTGTTGTCCGGTTAGCGTTCCATTGGCAAACAACAAAAACCATCGGGGCTTGGTTACCTCTCTGGGTCTTACCCAGATCTGTCCACTCTTAATTGACCACCGCCACCATCACGGGGGCTGCGCCAACTCGCACAGGAATATGGAGAGGTGACGTCGCCAATGGGTTCCTCTCAGGGTCGACGAAGTGCATGGTCGAACCACATAAAAGGGCTGTCGGTAGGATCGCAGTTGGTAGCCATGCCCACTAATACCACAATTGTGCCTACTGACTCGATTTCAGTAGCTGTGATTACGTTCTCATTATGCTTCTAGTGCACGCGCACGATCTAACCGGGCTGTCTTTAATGAAGCGTCGCCAGAAGGCTTTCTCCATCTGCGGTAGAGTTCCACATCTAAGACTCGGACATATTGACCTCCATCAGGACGGCAGCTCATAATGGCATCGTGTCATGGTGAAGTAAACAGGACTTGGTCACAGCTTTAGAGATGCGAATCACTGGTTCAAGTCCTTGCAGGAAGTCGTAAAGCCATCAGTCCGCCATTAAGTCACCCCACTAACACACACACAGCAATATCCACACGAAGGTTAGGCTCTGCCGTCAGTTGGCAGCCCCCAAGGTAAGATGGCATTACTGATGGAGACAAGGGAGACTGGAACGCCCATTTCCGACTCGTCAGCCGTCATCAGCCAGCCATGCCTGACCCCGACGTATGCAATCGCAGAGGCCCGAACTCGCGACCTGTTGGTTAGAAGTTCAACGCCCTAATCATGGAGTCAAACTGCTCGTTGTCCTGATGGTTAAGATCGGGTATATTAACGATGGTAGAGGGGGGACGAACCCATCCCGTTGCGGAACTCCCTCTTCCAATGGTCTCTGGGCTCTCTCTCTCCCTCGAGTTCCCAACAGCCGCACAGCGGCGCTTAATACACACAGAGCGGCAAGCTAAGCATTTGGCAAGCCTTGGCACACTGAAGTAGACCCCAGGACAGTCCGGTAATGTCATGACCACAGTCGGCGGTACTGATGGCAAAGCACTCCTCGTCAGCACATCGTCATGCGACCAGCGGCCAGTTTTAGTCGGAAGGCCAGTATCCCATCCTACAATTAGGCCGTGGTGGAGAACGCCACCCACATATGACCTGGATACGCAGCAGCCGTGCGACAAATGCGCAGTCTTTTATCAAACGGGCGAAACAAGCGGACCACGCTCCAAATACGTAATCGCGGGATCGGAGCGAGCATAGGTTCAGGTCCAAATCTAGAAATGAGCTTGATGTGAGGTAAGGCATTTACGTACACTCTAACGGTTTCCTTGTAAGGATTCAGGCGGTCAGCTATCGTCGGGCGTCGGAGGCAATCATGGCGACAAGTCGGCCTGCGATTTCACCGGTTAGACACAGGATTAAGTACCTCCTCCAGTATTACGTGTGGCTTTCCACCAAATTCCCGGGGACACTTATTCCCGTGTCCTAACCCTAGCCCTAAACGTCCCTGGAATTTAGCTCAAGGTAGCCTACAATACCGCGGGGAAGGGGACCTATTACCGTGTCCCGTTACTACTACTAATACTATTACCAACGGTACCGCGGCTCCTACTTCTACCACAGCTAAGGCCATCACCACTATTGTTATCGCCACTGCCACCACTAACTACTATGGCTGCTTCTACTGCCGCTCCACTGCCAATACCACTAATTATTGCCGCCACTACTAGTGATAACTACTACGACTACCACCGCTATTACGACCACTACCTCTAATCGATGTTGCCACTACTGCTAATTACTAAGACTAATACCATTAATACTACTACTACTACTACTACTACTACTACTACTACTACTACTACTACTACTACTACTACTACTACTACTACTATTACTGCTACTACTACCACTACTACTGCAACGACTACTACGGGTTCTACTAAACTCTACAACTGCTACTACTACCACTAATGCTAATACTACTACCCCTATTAATATAACTAGGGCTATAACTGCTACCACCGCCAATACTACTACTACTACTATCACTAATACTATGACTATTACTGCTTACCACCACTATTGCCACAACTACTACCGTTACAACTGCTGTTACTACTAACACTACTTCTGCCGCCAATATGGCTACTATTATCCGTTTGGCCCTCAAAAACAGTTCGGATTCAGAAGTATTCGCAAAAAGTATCGACTGGCACTTTTCCGGAGTTCTTGTCAAGGTCACAGTTTAGGGATCCAATGGCAATGACAGCAAGACTCGAAAGCTGGAGGGACCACGATTCTGTCCAACTCTCGTGCAGGATCGACTCGGGGTACGGTGCCGCAAAAAACGGAAATTCATGCGACATCAGCATGCCGGTCGCGAACAATCTTGCGGAGGAGTGAGCAAATCTGCCAGCTTATCCAGCAACGCTGCAAAAATCCAAAGTATTCTGGGACCGTACCTCTGACCACTTGCTGTCAAACGGAGAGGAGAAATCATCATCAATACTTGCTGCAACCTCGCAGGAATGTCCACCGTTGAAGAAATACGGTTGAGGTAGCTTAGGCAGCCTCGCTACCCACCCAGTTGGCTTGGTGAGGCAGCTCAGAGCCGACACGATAGATTGCAAGAGACAAAATCCGTCGAGATAGTTAGGTGGTCTTTGGACCAGAGAAACTCGGTCTTCGCCGCTGCACGTGGATAGACACTGTTCGCGGACATAATAGAAACCGACTAGATCAGGCAAATCAAAAGACTCCCTGCAACGCTCCATAGTACCCACTATTGTGGCAACTTTCGATAACCATATTCAAAGTATCGTCACCATACAGGGACGCACCTCAACGTCCCGTCCACCCTCCCCCAGCGCCACTGTTTCCTTCTTTGGATGCAGGTATACATAACAGACTATTTTAAATGGACGAGGTCTGTCTGTCGGAAGTCTATGGATGTTCCTAGCACATAAATATAGCTCCCTTATCCTGGTATTATAGAAGGCTGAGCCCAAAAACGCACGGCAGCAACAGCTGGAAACAGTGCCGGAACTCTGCCGCACGTTCCAAATGAAAGCTGCCACGCGCATAGTTGTCCCTATACTGGAGTGCGGACGGCATTTGCTTTGCCACCCCCGGCAGCTGACCAGATCTCAACTCTGTGAGGGTGATCAGAAACGCGTATTAGGTCACGTGGGGCGAAACCCAAAAGCCCTCAGGACTGCAAAATTCTCGCTACACAAACGCACACGGTTGACGATTATAAAATGACGCAACCCAAATTAAGGCGTTTTATTTTCAGGTACCACATAATTACAGTTTTCTACAAGGTTGTCAGGCAGGCTGAGTAAAGGACCGGGAAGTCAGTGTATCCCATATCCGTGGGGCATTTAAAATATTTTCGTGGTGGTGGTGGTGGCGGCGGCGGCGGCGGTGGTGTGGGGAGCAGAGTCACGCGCTGGTTACTCATTGACCGGCCTCCTTGTGCATTGGGGTAGGAAGTAGGTATCAAACAGCCAGTATCGACTGGAGAGATTTTCCCACAGCTTATCTTCAGCCACACATTTCACGGGAACAGCAAGGAACTCGCAGGTGAAGCCCAACCTAAAGGACAGAGGGGAAGAGAGGTTGGTAATGAAGTCTGAAACATAGGTCGCCTGCGGTGGGGCACATCAAGTGTCGTCAAGTGGAAGTAATGTTCGGCGACCTGGTCTGATTACAGGACGGAATAAGGGCGCTCTGGTAGGGTGTTAATCGCAGTGAGTAGTTGAAACCTGACTTAAATCTCGGGTGATTCCACTCTGGGGTTGTAAAGGGGTCGGCTGGAGACGGCAATTAAACCAGAAATGGTCCTTCCAGTGAGTATTACTTATCAAGTAACTAACGACGTCTCGATCATTCACATCCAAAGCTAAAAAACAGGTGGGCAATAATGCCCTTTCGTCATTCTCCGAATAGTCGTACGCACTATACATATCTAGAACGATTAGCATAATTACTACGATAAAGTTCGATCACTACTGCCAGTCAAAACTGAATAAAACTAAAAACAGAGAACAGGGCAGTCTTCACATCCGCTCAAGCGGACGGGTGAGGGGGGAGGCGAAGCTGGTAGGTACTAAGC